AAAGTTAACGGAACTATAACAAATTAAGAAATAGGTAATTCCCTTGCACAACTTGACTGTCCTAAGAAATTTTAATGTTTGTCTTTTTTCTCCTTTTATGTGTGTGTTTGTAAGAAACACTGCATTTGGCACTTCGCAATAGGGGTGGACTTTACTATAAAATCAGTATGACACATTTTGAGTATTACAGCATAAACATTACAATAGAGTGAACTTTACAAATTGTAAGAGGTGATTAGATTTTATTATTAATATTCATCTTTTGGGCTGGAATATTACTTGCAAAACAAACAAGATAACTCAGTAAAGGCTGTATGTCAACATTTTGGCCTTATTTATGTTTTTTTATATAGCTCTTTAATGTTTAACCAGGTTCGCCTTTTTGGATTTCTGTAGGGCTGTTATTTGTATGACATATATTGTCAAAAAATTTTTTAGATTCGTATGGTCTGAACATTTTTATTCTGATGTATTATGTTGTAGCGTAAATACTATAGCTCCTGCAGTTTTTATGTTCTTTGTTGTTTACTGTGATTTTTTTAGTACTCTGTCTTCCTGCAAATTTCATTTGATATTACAGCATTTGATTTTATGGAATCCTTACTGGAGTGTCTTACTTGACATGTGTAATATCTATAATAATAAAAGAGACTGTCTGTGTGTGTGTATGTGACTGCCTTAGCTTCAAGAGAAAGAACCTAGAGATCTGAAACTTTCCATGCACACTAAGGGTATTCTGGGGGTATGTGTGCACCTGGGTATTATTTTTTTAGATTGGACTAAAAAAGATGTTGGCCATGTTTTCACCCTATTGTTTTGTCCTATAGCCCTTAAGCCCAATAATTCTGCTTCCTGGAGGTCTATAGAAAAGTGTCATATTTTTTTCTAATTCTCACTTACTGACTGAACAATATATGGAGGTTTTCTGCCAAATACTCTTTTTTTGTTTAAACACAAACATGGGAAGAAGAATTGAACTTAGTTTTGGAAATGACAACAAACAATGGGAAGAAAAATATTAATCAGAGAATATTGGAAAAAAATCAGAGAATGAAAAGAATTCAAATAAAAGTACAGGAAGTAAAAATAAATCTGAGAAGCTAAATTAAAACTATTTGCTTTTAGAAAGAGTTGAATTGAATTAAGTTTGGGAAATGGCAACAGACGAATCAAGTAAAGAATTAGTGCATTGGGGTAGCTATAGAAGTAATTAAGAAAATGGAGATGGTTGACTGGTACATTGAGGCCTCTATGAATCATGAGAGAACCTTAGAATCCTGCAGCAGAGTGTGGGTATTTTATGGTAGTAATGAATAAACTAATAGTTTCTTTCTCGAGGTAAAAATTTGTTTAATGCTGAATATTTCACCTTAAGGCTTCTTAAGGGGCTATTTACAACATACATGAACTATTGAGGATTAAACAAGTTTAGATTATATCTGAAGAAAGAAGTTGTTTGTGTATTCATAATTAATATTAAATTTGGGTCAGAATAAGCATCATAATGGAATGAAACTGAAAAACAACCTAGAAATGAGTATAGCTAATTAAACATACTTTTCATATGTTCTTTTAAAGATTACAGTACATTGTCTCATCAGTTGGTTACCCTCATTGTTAATATAGTTTTGGATGTAAGCCTAGTAATATCTAACAAAGTTCAGCCATGTGGGAGATTTAGTCCTAAATTCAGATATTAAACTAACAAATTAAGTAATATTTTGGTATCTGTAGTTGGTGTAGTTCAGTGTTCTTTCAGACTATCAAATTGAACTATGTACTTTGTTTTACCATATTTCATGGTCCATTCCTTTTGTGGTTACTTTCAAGTGTAGTGTTTCATAGGAATACTCTGACACTTAAATTTTGATAGACCGTTCTCTAAAGTATTTTAAGGAATTAAAGAATTTTGTTTCATATACATTGAATATGAAAGAAGAAAAAAAATTGGCAATTTGCCAAGCCATGTACATAATGAAAGCCTCTGAGGTTCCATGTTGTGTTTTGTTTGGCTGCAATTACTTACAATACAACTTATAAGACCTTGATAAGTACTGTAGTTGACTTACTGTATACTTCATATATTTACATACATGTGTGTGTAATAAAAGTGTTTAAATAGTTAACAATTCTTACACTGGAATGATAATTTATGGAAACCACACATTTTAACTTTATAGTGAATTGCATTATTTATGCCCATCTCATGTCTGAGGAGTGTATTTCATAGTGTTTGAGTTAGCACTGATATCTGATGTTAGTTTTCTAGTATTGATTAAAGTAATAATAAGTAACAAGGTTGTTAGTGTGTCATAGTTTGTATTTTAATCGGTATCTTAGAGTGGGTAAATGTTGATGTGAGAAATGATATGTAGATATTCAATGTTATAACTTGTATGATAGTATTGATATATGCTTGTGTTAGCAGTGGTATCTGACCAGTGTCGTAGTACTTACCTTAGCACTAATGTTTTATCAAAGTTTTGAAATGTTTGTGTTGACTAATATATTTTGAAGAGAGTGATTTACTGTTGGTATATAAAAAGCAGTTTGAGCATGTGATTGTGCTTATTTAATACTGTTCGTGTGAGCGCTAGTCTGAGATCAGTGTCAAAATATTGGTGAGAATACCACTTTAATTTCTAATAAGAGTGCCACTGTATCAATGTCAAGACTAATGTCTGCACTAGAGCCTTCTTAGAGTGCAACAGAGCTGGTGTGAAACTAATACTCCACAAGTGTTCCATAGCTAGAGTGTGAACAGTGGTATATTTGATGAGAATGTTGTATTGATGGCTTAAGGACTGATATCTAGTGAGTGTTACAGTGATGGTAACATTACTGCATCTGATGATAATATGTTAAGGTGAAAAAAAAAAATATTTTGGAAATTTTTGGTAAAAAAGTAAAATGTTAAATATATATATATATATATATATATATGTATAAAACTTGTGAATCTTGTTTTGAAATAACCAAGAACTATCATGGTTGCAAATGATTGAAGCTGTCTAAAGGTACCATAATATTTGTGGCTGATCCAAAATCCACCTTTAAAACTTGATGTTTAATATTTTTTCTTTTATCCTAACTCCATCCAAAGAGTTGAGTTTGGGTTGTGGTTTGAGTTATTTATATTCTCCAAACAAGAACAGTTAGAAAGATGAAATTGTAGATCCAATTGTTATGAGAGCAACAAACTTTTTATTTGTACAGGACACATTTTCTGTGTGTTTTGGAGTGTGTATGTGTTAAAGTTATTTCATCATTTTATCAAAAGACTATTTTGAGCTGGGCATGGCCTGGCAGTTAGTGTGCTGACTGTGAACCTGAGGATCTATGTTTGCTTCCATTGATGTAAAAAGAAAATATTCTCCACACTCTGGGGCTGTGGTTGCATTATATCTTATAAGAATTACTCTGAAATCCCATTATTAAATAAGCCCAATAAGTTGGTTGGTGCGTTGTCTAGTTGCACTCTGTCTAGTTTTATCAGTTCAAATTAGGGATGGCTAGTACATTTAGCTCTTGTGTAAGTTTTCTTGAATATTTGAAACAAATAAACCTGTTTTCTTTTTTTCTTTTGATATAATTTATTCATCACTAAACTGAAAAATTTTAAAGGTTATCATGATTAATTTATTTTTCACAATGTACTGTTTATATTAGTGCATTATATTGCTGCTTCTTGACTCACCTTACTCTTTATAACTGGTATGCAATAAGTTTCAAATTTGTATTTAAATGTATAGGAATGGTATGACATGATGAGAGAAGGCAATGATTCACATGTGCAAAGTTAGATGTTTTTTGCACACATTTTAGATTGATATTTAATATTTATCTGTATAATATCTATTAAAAACTAACAATACTGTATTCAATGATTTTAATGCCTTGTAATCTTATACAATATGAGGTATATATTGTGTATCATAGACTTAAGATAGAAACTAAAAAGTTACTAAATTTATCCTCCATTTTAAATGCATAACCTGATAAACTGTTATTTTATCTGATAGAGATATGTTTTTTATATATAGCCAAGCCAGTAGTACAGAAGATTAGGAATCTTTGCTTAACAAAAGATGATTTTGAAATCATTAAGGTGATTGGTCGGGGAGCCTTTGGTGAGGTAATGTATCTTGTTTTTTATGTTTTTCTGTTCTTTATATGTCACTTTTTTTTCACTGTTTTATATATTGTAGTGTGTGAAAAATTTTAGATGAATGGGAAGAATGTTTTGGTTAATTATTTATTTTTAAGGCCTATCTTATATGAACATAAAGTATTTAGTGTCTTTGACTTTTAGTAATAACTTGGAAAAATTATAAATATTATAATTTGTACCTCCCAAATAACTCCACATTGTATACTTATTTATTTAAAAGAAATTTTAAAGCTCATAAAGTAGCTTGAACATTTACTATAAACATTTATTAAAGTATGTGTATGATTTTACTGAATTATTCTACATTTTTAAATAGCCCATGATCCTGTGCATTTTATTTTTATTCTCACTATCAAAATTTAAATAGGATCCTTTCATGTAATATGTTTGCTATAATTTTTAACTCGTGATCAAGTCTGAGGTAAAGTTTGAATGGAATATGTTGTCAAGTGTAATGTAAATCATTGCTAACTTAACCTTTTTAAAAGTATGATTAATTTGCTGTTATGATTTTCTTTCAGTATTATTCATTTAAACCTTAAAAAATATATAAGTCTCTTCTATCACTTGTTATTGTAAAAAAATTTTTATGGTTAAAACAAGCGTGTGTTGTAAATAACATTGTGAATCAGTGTTGTTGAGCTGTAACTGATCTCTAGTTTCAATGTTTTGATTCCTTTCTTGGTGCTTTGTTACACAGTGTTGTACATTTACTTAATAGCTTGGTTCATTATATTTATACTTTAAATCACTAAATTTATTAAGTGATGCTATTTTGTAACTAGTGTCTTATTTCAGTGTTACTGTATTAAGAATAAGTGTCTTCGTTTATACTTGCTATGTTGTAATTAGTACCTTAGTTCAACTGTAGTTTATAGTAAATACTCTGTGGGTTTATGGCTAATATATTATTACTAGAGTCTTTGTTATTTGTTTCTGTATTGTAACAAATGTCTTAATACAATGTAGAGTATTGTAATAAATGTCTTAACTAAGTGTTGAGTATTGTAATAAATGTCTTAACTAAGTGTTGTGAAACATTACTTACACGTATAAAATACAATACTGATCTGAGACCATAAGTACAACACAGTTTTAATGTTACTGTAATGTAACTAGTTTCTTGGTTTATTGCTAATGCATTGTAGCAAAAATATTGGTTCATTGTTACTGCTTTGTAACTAGTGTCCTCATTGTTACTATGTTGTAGGAACTCTCAGTGTTTTAGTGTTACAGTGCTATAAATAATATCGTAGTTTTGTATTAGTGTTGTAAACACATGTATTGCACATTTTTTTTTTCCAGTTACTGTAGATGGAGGAGACTGAATAGCAAAAACCATATTGTAACTTTTTTGTTGTTATTCATTGACAGTTTGAAAATATTAGAAGAAACCCAAACCATCATTGAATTTGTATAATCTCTCAGTGTTTCTGTCGATATTGGAGCTGTAGTTATAGCACTGATTTCTTGTTAAGGGTATAGCAGAATGTAATAATATATGTGGTACACTTACTCCCTTGATCAGTTATTGTGACATCTCTTAAGTGGTTTCTGTGGAAGATGTCACTGTAGTTCAATGATTGATTTTATATAGTCAGGACCTGTATTAAAGCAAAATGTGTAATAACTTGCTTAAAGGTTAGTAGGTTTGGGATTATGTTATTAGATTGTGATCTTTGGAAATGTATGAGATAGAAAAGATAACCTAAATTCTTGTTTAGTCTCAGTTTCATGTACGAGTTTTATTAAACTGATAAGTGTTAAGAAGATGATACAGTATTGGAATTTTTGATAGAAAGAATAGTATACAATATACATTGTATATTTATTGAATCAGTGTCCAGAAGAAAAAAAAAGGCACACAATAATATTTATTATACACACATTACTGTAATTTCCCATATGATATTTTACCTCCTCTCACAAAATAACTTTTCTTGATTAGAACTGCCCTCTATTGGTGCAAATTTTCTATGCTCGCAATAGCCTTCCACTTCCTGCTTCTGCATATCCACAGGTAAATGATTATGCAGCAGCTCTCCACCAATAGGAGCACAACAAAACCCGTATCATAACTAGTGCCCTCTTCATATTTGCACTTTTTAAATCACTTCTCATATAGCAATAGTACTGTGCAGACGTGCTTGTTTTTGTTTGCAAATTTGTCAGTGTTTTTCCTTTATACTACTGACTTAGTTTTTGTTATTACTTTACTTACAGGGGCCTTTTTGCTAGTGTATTGTGGATCCCACTCTGTGGCAATGGTGCCTGACCAGGTATAATTTGTTTTTAAATCCATAGTGTCTCTCTTGTGACCATGCTTAATGTCAATTATGCTGTAGATCTTCCTACTGCAGACCTGATGTACAATTCCTGATGCCGCCAGATGCTGGTTGTGTGTCTCCGTTCAATTGTCATCTATGCCGAAACAGTTACGTTGCAGGATTAGGTTACACACACTGTAGAGGTGGGGTGTTCTGTAGAACTGCTGGTAGCTCTCTCGAGTGGTCTTTTGTCTCATAAATATGTTCATCTCAGACTGTACACTCATAGACACACATAAGTAAAGTAGACAGGGATTGCTGCCCATCTCTGATGTTCAATGGTTTTGAGACTCTTCCTACTGTGGACATGACGTACATTTCCAGATGCTGCCGGGTGTTGGTTGATAGACTCCGCTGACATGGTAGTTCTGCTTTTCAAAATAGGATTTCACGGTCACCTGTTGCACTGTCTCTGTTGATTCGGTCCTCCAAACTCTCCGTGTTTTTCCTCTTTTCTTCTTGTGGAATACGGGAGTCCTTGCCACTTACCAGTTCTTAGCCAAGGGGGTGGTAGACCATGGAAGGCTGTCTTCCTGAATGATGCACCATACCACTCATTTGAGAGTAAGGAGGTGGCATTCTGTGGGTGTTGATGATTTATAGCACTTCCTAACAAAGATCTGATGTACAATTCTAGATACTGCCAGGTTTTGGTTGTAGCATTATGCTTTTCCCACCATGGCATTTTCTCTCCTACCACCCTCCAGATGTATTAGGTCGTCAAGAAATTAATGTCGCTTTTTTAGATGAAAAAACCTGAACAACTTATATATCAAAACAAAACCTTTATTAAGTGAAATAGTCTCCATTCTTATCAGAAATCATTTGGCCTTGAAGCAAAAAACATGTCAATGTCCTCTTTAACACCTTCCATATTTGCATACATTTTCCCATTAAGATAGTGTTGCAGCAAACATAAAAGATGGTAATCTGATGGTACCATATCTGGAGAATATGGTGGGTGGGAGAGAAATTCAAAACCCAACATCATAATCTTGGGTTGCATCAAACATGCAACATGTGGACATATATTGTCTTGGAGAAGAAGAACACCTTTCTGATTGATGAGTGAAGGGCGTTTCTGATGAAGGGCTTGATTTAAACATTCCAGCTGCTGACTATAGATCTCTGCATTGACAGTTCACTGTGGATTGAGGAGTTTGAAATTAATTACTCTTTTGATGTCCCACCAAATGCAAAGCATCACTTTCTACGAATGGAGTCCAGATTTTAGGGTTGGAAGTGGTTTTTGTCTAGGACTGAGCCATTGTTTTTGATGTTCAATATTCGCATAAAGAATCCATTTTTCATCACTGGTGACAATTCTGTCCAAAAATGGTTCACGCGCATTATGCACCAGAAGAAATGAAGCAACATTCACATGTTGGAAATGATGATCATCGGAGAGTTTGTGAGGCACCCAAATATCTTCTTTATGGAGTTTTCTCATATTTCTTAGATGTTTACGTATTGTTTCATGAGAGACATGCAATTTCAGAGCCATTTCATGAGTGTGTTGCCTTGGGTTAGATTCAACAAGCGTCTTCAGAGCATTAATATCAATTCCAACATGTCGACCCATGCCATCACAGTTTATAAGGCTAAAGTCACCTGAACAAAATTTGCTGAACCATCGTTGACACTTACGAATGTTCAAAACATTTCCATAAACTTCTTTGTATGTTCTTTGTGGCCACAGAGGCATTGTTTCCCTTCTTGTATTCAAACAGCATTACATGTCGAATGTGCGTCTCTTCTTGGGGCCATCACTATAAGCGATTAGAGTATACTAAACTTTACACATTATATTGTGACGTTTTGGTGGTTCTTTTAACTATTATATGTGATGTAAGTTTTTTTTTTTTTT